TAAAAACTAGTAGTTTTGATGTCGTTACCAGAAATGGATTAAATGTGTTCAAATTAGATTCTAAACTATTTGAATCACTTGGTAGGGTAAATGACACTCTAAAGAATCCAAATTGTTAAAAACTAGTAGTTTTGATGTCGTTACCAGAAATGGATGAAATGTGTTCAAATTGGAATCTAAACTATTGATAGGGTAAATGAGACACTAAAGAATCCAAAATACAAAAAATTAGTCACTTTTTAGTACATTTTGATGTTGTTACATGAAATGGATGAAATATGTTCAAATTGGAGTATAAACAACTTGGAAACGTAAATGAGACATTAAAGAAGCCAAAATTCAAAAATTAATCATTTTTTCAAAAATTATCAAAAACTCAAATATCTTACTCCACAGATTCTTAAACTAGTACATTTTGATATTGTCAACAGAAATAGATGAAATGTGGCTCCAAAAAATTAACATTTTTGAATTTTGGCTCCTTTAGAGACCCATTTACCCTACTAAGTGGTTAAAATAGTTTAGATTCTAATTTGAACACATTTCTTCTATTTCCGATAACAACATCAAAATGTCCTAGTTTTTAAGAACTTGTGGATTAACACCTTTGAATTTTGGATAATTTTCCAAAAACTAACATTTTTGCATTTTAGCTTCTTTAGAGACTCATTTACCTTATCAAATGATTTAAATAGTTTAGATTCCAATCTGAACACATTTTATCTATTTCCGGTAACAACATCAAAGCGTACTAGTTTTTAAGAATTCGTGAACTAACACCTTTGAATTTTGGATAATTTTCCAAAAAATTAACATTTTTGAATTTTGGCTTCTATAGAGACACATTTACCTTACCAAGTGGTTCAATAGTCACATGGATTTTTGGATCTTAGTTGAGAAATAGGAGACAACTAGCATGTGGTGAGCCTTCAAACCGTAAGTATTCACACCTAGCAGCAGGGAACTTTACATCCATGCACAGTTTGCCATTGCTCTATCAAGCCTACTGGTGAAAGAACTTTTGTCCGGTTTATGAGTCAAACCTAGAATCACTAATTTGATGCAGAATAGTTAGGTTCGTTCAAAGGGACCAGCAATACACTCTAATCCTATGGGATACAAATTCAGCTAAGTGATCAAAGTGGTTTAAGTTATCACGATTGATCAAGCAATTAAAGTAAATTCGGTGTAAACAAATGATATTAAAAGTGTTAGGTCAAGGAAAAGTATCTCAGGGATTAGATCATCTAGAACCAAGCAATTATTCAGGTTATCAATTACGAACCAATTTAGAACTCAACCATAAAATTAAGAGGATCCACTGTCGTGCCATCAACCACTTCATCAATCAATCTAACACCCTAAACTGTCGTTTGAGATTACAAAGAATGATGAGCATTAAAGAGGATAGGATCGATTTGTTCACAACTCGCCTTAACTTCAACTGTCGTTGGCTAAGGACGAATCGCCCATCTATGTTAATTCAAACAATTCACAACACTTTTGATGAGTAAATTTAACCTAAAATCAAAGGCTATCTGATCAAACTAGTCTAGGCATTACGACCAACAATAGATGAAGATATCAAATATGTTTCAAAACCTATCTATGCTTAGTTCAAGAATCCCTAATCCCATCGAACCCTTAACCTAACTTAGGAGATTACTCGCACATGATAGATCAAAACACAGCAAGTGAGATAAGAGAATTCATAGATAAATTAATGAAAAAGGTAAAGAGTTTAGAAATTTTCTCCAAAGGATGGAAGACAATCTTCAAATCTCACAAAACTCAAAAACAATGTATCAAATCTCTCTCTCACGTGTTCTCTCTCTGTTATTTTTCTTTTTTCTTGAAAAAAGATCGAAAATATCCTTAAATAAGGGTCTGGGGCGGCTGGGATTGATTAGGAAAATCCTAGGTGGCAAAAATAGGTTTAATGAAAATTTTCAAAACTGGATCTTCTGCGGAGCAGGTCTTGCGATCGGGAGCAGGTGCTCATTTTCTTCAGAATCTTCAAAAAGATCCAATTTCTCTCCTTTTTCGCCAAGTCCCATTGTGAGTTCAAATCCTCCATTCCAGCCTCTTTTTGACCTAAAATGACTCAAAGTAAAGCAAAAGACTTGATAAAAACCTACAAAACAAAGGTTAAAATGCACCAAAAACGCATTATATCACCTACATAATACCCTATGCTGGTATTTATCT